GCCAGGTGTTTCTTCTGCGGAGTATCGCTGTGCCGATGGGAGCCGGACGACCTTCCTCTTTCTGAACACGCCGAACACGGGAGTTCGTGCTTGTGGTTGCGGCGCAAGACGAAGGAAACCCTGATTTCTAAGATTAATTTTGCCTCCGAATTCGGATTCGACAGCGACGTGATCGCAAAGGTCGTGAGCGATCATCTCGAGAAGAAAGGACAAGTGTTCTCGTTGACAAACGAAGTTCTGATCTCGAGCATAATCGACTTCGATGAAAATGGGGCCGACGACAGGAAAAAGGACGGGGTAGAAGATCCGTCGAAACAAGAGGGCTTGGTGTCTCTGATCGCCGAACTTCGCTTGGAAGAAGATGCCGAAGACGAACGCCCGGAACGAAAAGAAGAGGAAGAAGGAGTTCGTGCGCCCGTCGAAAGCTATACGAACAAGGTACGCGTCGGCGGCGGCGACGACGACGACGACGACGAGAAATCTCGCGGAGATCTATTGAGGGAACTTACCGATCTCAAGGACGAGATGTCGTGCAAGGTGTGCATGGATCGCGATTCGAACGTCCTCCTGACTCCGTTGTGTATAAGAGACAGGAGTAGCACCGGCGATGCTGCATATAACCAATTAGCGTCGTGTCCGATCTGTCGTACAAAAGTCGGTGAGGTCGTCAAAGTTTACCACAGTTAGGTTTAGGTCATGGAGACGATGGCCGAAACGACGAGAATCATAAGAGAAACGATGGCCGAAACGACGAAAATCATAAGAGTGTTTGCAAAAGCGATAAACGAAGCTGAGTTGCACGGTGATAAGGTAAACCAATTTTTTTTCGACGAGTACCAACACGTCATCGACCCGACCGTCAGCGACGAGGAGTGGGAAACCCGATATTTTTGTACTATCCGTGGAAAGAGGTGTCTGAAATTGGGATGTTTGAAAGTGATAAAAGAGATCGACAGATTAAGGACTGCGTGCAAGTCCGGAGGGAGACGTACAGACGGCTGCTGCTGACAACGGCGAAGAAGAGATACGCGTACCTGCAAGAGGACCGTACAGTCGGCACGGTCGGCATGCTGAACGTGAGGGACGACGCGGAACCGCTAGTTTCCAAACTGGACCGGAAGTTGGTGGAGATCGCTCTGTCTGTTTCGGCCGGTGCCGTACTACGTCAGACACGAGGGAGCTTCGCAGCACCCTTTGTTCGCGGCGTGTCGCAACGACTTCGTCGACGCAACAGGTCTGCTGGATGCCCTCCGAAAGAGGTGCCCGTCGAAACCGGATAACGACACCGTCCTCGGCGTCCTCGCCTCCGCCTGCGGGCGTCGCGCCTCCGATCGATTGCGGGAGGTTCGACTCGCCGTCGAAGGAGTGCCGGCCATACTGGCGGTTGCAGCGTCGGATGCATCCGAGGTTGTGATACCGAACACCAGACTGGTGGTTGCAGCGTCGGAGAAAGAAAAACAGGATTGCTGTTCCACAGTTGTGACGACGTCCATCGAAGAGGAACGAGCGACGAGAAGGGACGAGTTGGTCTTCCACAGCAAGGATCTGGGAGGTGGGCGATCAAAGTTGTTCGTTCTTCGCTGCGGCGATCCCCTGTGCGCACGGGCTCGCGACTTTTGCGTCGGCGCCCGTGAAAATTTGAACGAATGTTGGAAGAACATAAATATAAAAACCTGAATTTTTGCAAGGGGATGGCAGTAACGAGACGAATTTCAACAGGATATATTGTTCAGTCGAATGCATCCAGTGCAGAAGTCGATAAAAAAAAAGTTGCAAAGCAAAATAGCCCATAGAATGAGCAAGTGGGACGAGATTTCCGAAGGTTTCTTCGTGATGCGTGGTTTTCTGGCGAAGGGGTTTCATCGATTCACGATTGGCAACGCCGGAGAGCACGTTCGTTTTTACAGTGGGGACAAAGGAAATTACAATTATTTTATACAGCCTTTGACACGGATAGGTCTGTCTATTTCAACTTATTTAAGTAAGCAAATCACCTTTTATGTTTGTGAAATACAAATGCTAACTAATGTTTTGTGATCATATCTCCTTAGTTCTGTTTGATCGTAAGTTAGACGGCAGTATTTCCACTCACAATAGCGTAGTCGCAATACTACTTGCACAAAAGTGAAATTCAAAAAGGGGAGAAAAGGAAAAATCTCTCTTGATTGATTTTAAAAGTACAAAGAGACTATTTCTAACCTTAATAATTTTCCATTCTAAAAACTACAATTTGATTCGTGAAAATTGACCAACAAAATGAAAAGTTATAGCAAATGAAAATTTACGATTTTTATATATATATTCATGTTCTTATATAACATTAAACTGTGATTTTGACAATGCTGGACTAAGGTGTACAAAATGAAAATTTGAGTATACAGAAAATTTATTTATTTTTTTCTGCGAAGTGAGTCTCATGAACCAACGGACACCATCGGATTTTAAAAGTACTGTACATGCAATAGACTATAGCAGGGGTTCTCAACTGGCGGCCTGCGGTCCATCTGCGGTCCTCGAGAACAAGTCAAAAATAATAGTTTCAGTTAGGCTTGGGCCTAGATTTCTAACCTTAATAATTTTGCATTCTGTTTTGCCGACTAGGTCTATGTATTGCCCACAAATTGTAGCGATTTAATCAATTAATTCAGAAAAACTATCTGGGCAAACAGCAAAGAAATTATACCGATGACCCATTGTGTGATATAGGCCTATAACATTTTGACTTTTGCATTACCAAACACAAGCGTAACTTTCTTAGGCCAAGATGTCCTTTATGAGCGTCTAGCAGCTTATTATTTTAAAAACATTTCTAATTCGTGAAGGGGGCCTTCCCCCTCCCAAACCCTTTCTCGACTCGCACCTACACGCCACAGTACACCTCTTTTCCTGGGCGTTCAATTGTATTCCATGAACAATTGTGGCCCCCCCCCCCCTATTGCGATGAGTTGAGAACCACTGGACTATAGAATTGGAGTGACTGTTTTTCCACGAAGGAACGAGGTTTATCACTTGCTTTTCATGGTTCGAATACGTCACAAGCTCAGTGGATAATCATTATTTTTATGAACGTTAGTTTGCACGAAATATGTAAGTGGTCATGATTATGATCACCAGGTAAATTGAAAAAAATAATGATAAGTAATTCAATGGCAGATTCAAGGGTGCCCAGCCGGCCCACCCTCCCTATTTTTTTCATCAAAATTTAAAAGTGGGGAAAAAGGAAAATTATATTCAAATTAAGTGTGAGCAGGGAACAGTTAAATTGCGCCTATTAACTGTTCCCTGGTCTGAGAGTGCCAATTCCGGCCAACTAGAGGTGCCATAATCATAAATTTTCTTCCCTCATTCCCAACCATGGTGGGGCTGAGGTGGTCCACACTCCATCTGTAAAAGTCCCCCAAAGGGCCGCCACCTCTTTTTCGAATTTCTGCCATCCGGATCTGCCACTGTATTTTGAAAATGTAGTGTGGAAATAAATTTTAATTGCATTCCTTAAAATCAATTACATACGACTTATAAAAGGCCATAGACACCAGA